CTCTCTGTAAAAAAAATCAATAAAATATATATATTTTTTAAATAGCACTTAATAGAATTTTGGTTGATGTTTTATTTATCTAATTTTAGTAATAACGTAAGTTTTAAGAAAAAATACTTTGCTTTCCCATTTACACCTGTAACTTCAACGTGGCTTGCTATTCTTGCAAAACCCGCCAACCGTTTTTTATAATTGTGTCATCAACAATAGTATCATAAGATTAGACTACAGAAAAATGTTTGATTATTAATATTTGATTATACAAAAAGTCACTCACATCAATGATGAATGAGGATAGCTCTGATGTAAATTTTGGTTGATATTTTCAGTAATCTTAATGAGTTCATTTGTCAATGATGAAACTTCTTTTTTTTAAAAATATAGAAAAAAGGAGAGAGATATAGGAACATCAATGATGAGAGAGAACCATAGATCAACTGCCTCCTGTACACTCCCCCACCACACACACACACACACACACACACTGGGGATCAAGCCTGCAACCCAGGCATGTGCCCGACTGGGAATTGAACCACAACCTCCTGGTTCATAGGTAGATGCTCAGCCACTGAGCCACACCAGCTGGGCAATAATGTAGCTTTTTTATGAATCAGACAATAGTTTTCAAATATTGGGAAAAATATTCTTGCTAATTTTTGTGCCATTCCCAATGCAACAGCTACAGACATGACCCACTTTTTTAAAATATATTTTCTTTATTTTTTGAGGAAGGGAGAAGGATAGAGTTAGAAACATCAATCAGCTGCCTCCTGCATGCCTCCTACTGGGGATGTGCCTGCAGCCAAGTTACATGCCTCTGACCAGAATTGAACCCGGGACTCTTCAGTCCCCAGGCCGTCGCTCTATCCACTGAGCCAAACTGGGTAGGGCATGACCCACTTTTAAGTTTAATCTGCATCATTAACATTTTCTGCATCCCTTTTTAAAATCTAGACAGTCCATAAAATAGTAATTCAATCTGATTTGTGGAGTTTGCCAATTTCCATGGTGTCAATACTCTCAACCTTATTTCAAACGACTCACTTGATGTGAATGAGTTGGGAAGAGTTGGGCAGGAACACATCACTGACTCCCACCGCACAGGTACCATCAATGTACATAAACCTCAGTAGCACAGATAATGATAAGATGTAAATAATTAGCCAGAGATGTGTTTTGAGTATTTATTACCATTTAAAAATATATATATATTTTATTGATTTTGAGAGAGAGAGAGGAAGGGAGAGGAATAAAGAGATAAAAAACATAGAAGAGAAAGGAAGTCATGCAACGGGGATCAAGCCAACAACTTGGGCATGTCCCTTGACTGGGAATCAAACTGGTGACCTCTTGGTTCCTGTTTTTTTACACCAGCCAGGCACCATTTTTTTTAATATAACTTACTTAATTGTGAATTGATATGATTGAATTTTAATAATGGCTGTGTTTAACAACCAGCTTACAACATTCCTGAAAATTTAATAGTCAGCTCTTGTATGCTGTTAGGAACCGGCTCCAGCACACGCTGCCCCAGCCTCTCTGTGTAGCCGTGTTACCTGATTCCATTTGTCTGTCAGGACACCCCCTCTCCTGCCTCCCACCCACCCACTCAGCCCATCTGGCCAGGCCCAACCCCAAAGAGAGAAGGAAGAACAAGGTTACTGATCCCAGGAAGACTTGGAAGACAATGGGGGTATTTTAGAGTGATCCACCTTCACTTTGGGGAAGACAACCCCAATTTCAGAGTCTTAGGTTGATGAATTGGTGACAGTGACCGTATTGAGCTCTGGTTAAGGGCACCCCTCTGGAATTCGCGGCTGTGCTTGAGTCATGGCTCTGCCCCTCTTAGGCCATATGATCTAGAATAAAAGACTCAATCTCTCTGTGCCTCAGTTTCTTCATGTAAAATGGGACCAATAATGACACTTGCCTCATAGGGTCGTAAAGATTAAATGAGATCACGGACTAAGAGTTGTTCACATAGTGCTTGGCACCGAGTAAGAGCTTCACACACAGCAGGTATCATTAGTAGTATTCAAGTTATAGTGGTTTTTACAAACTCATGTGTTAGCTAATACTACTTTCTACATATACAAAACATATGCAGCCAAAACCGGTTTGGCTCAGTGGTAGAGCGTCGGCCTGCGGACTGAAAGGTCCCGGGTTCGATTCCGGTCAAGGGCATGTACCTTGGTTGCAGGCACATCCCTGGTAGGGGGTGTGCAAGAGGCAGCTGGTCGATGTTTCTCTCTCATCAACCTTTCTCACTCTCTATCCCTCTCCCTTCCTCTCTGTAAAAAATCAATAAAAAATATATTAAAAAAAAAAACATATGCAGCCCAGCCAATGTGACTCAGTGAATTGAGCATCACCCCATAAACTACCATGTTTCCCCAAAAATAAGACATCCTCCAAAAATAAGACCTACTTACAGGTTTCCTTCTGAGTGAAATATAAGGCATCTCCCCAAAAATAAGGCCCCCCTAGGCTAAACATGAGAGATTTGGTCCACTGATTCTGAAAGAAATGGAGTCAAAAGAAATTCACCAGGAAATTCAGGAATTGGATTGTTATGATGATGTTCCAGAAGATGATGACATGATTGTCATTGAATAAATGAGTAAATTCTTGATAATGTAGGATTCACAGTTTGTCTGGTTTGTGTTGACAACTACCGTACTACCATTCCGTATACAAGTAATAAATTTCCTTTATTTTCATTTAACAATAAATGTGTACTGTATTCTTCTTCATGGAAAAATAAGACATCCCCTGAAAATAAGACCTAGCGCATCTTTGGGAGCAAAAATTAATATAAGACACTGTCTTATTTTCAGGGAAACAGGTTAGTTCAATTCCCAGTCAGGGCACATGCCTGGGTTGTGGTCTTGATCTCCACTAGGGGGCGCACAGGAAGCAGCCAATCTATATGTTTCTCTCTAATAAATATTTCTGTCTCTTTCTCCTTCTCCCTTCTTCTCTATCTAAAAAATAAGAAGCCCAGCCGGGTGTGACTCAGCAGTTTAGCATCAACCCAGGAACCAAGAGGTCACTGGTTTGATTCCCGGTCAGGGCATATGTCTGAATTGCGGGCTTGATCCCAGTGTGGGGCTTGCAAAAGGCAGCCAATCAATGATTCTCTCTCATCATTGATGTTTCTACCTCTCTCTCCCTCTCCCTTCCTCTCTGAAATAATATATATATATATTAAAAAAAATAAGAACATATTTAAAGGAAACATATACAGCCAATGTTTGCATGCTTTTAAGGTTTTAAAGGCAGATTCTATATTGCATAACCTGTTAGAAGCCTCAAGTGATTCAGGAGACAGTCACCATGTGATTATCATTCTCCACTCGTCATTGCATTCCGTGGGCAGGGGACTATGTCATCGCATTCTGTGGGACATAGAGGCTGAATCACGGCCCAGGGACACACAGCCAATGACCAACCCATCGGAGCTGGGCCCACTGCCTCTGTTCCCCTTGAGCAGATCCCATGCCTTTCATGGGCATTTTTGTTGAGCTCTTAACAGCCCTTAAACAGCAAGAACTGGAAGAACTACTACTGAGACAGGAGCCTCGGGTTACTTAGCCAGTCAATTAGGTTGGACTATTTTTGCACAATTCTATAAATAAGTATTCATATGGAGTAAAAATGGTCAATCCAAAGAGCCAGTAACCTAGGAGACAAAACAGATTTTTCTCTCCTACATCACGGGCTTGGTGACACGCCATCAGACTTGGCTTGAAGTTACAGATATGGGTGAGCTCTCATTTTTTCCCTTTTCCCCCCACAAAGGGCAGCATAACAATGACCTGCTTCCTGAGTGTATGGGGAGGAATCGCAACATGTCCATCTCGCTCACAGAGAAGGTTCAGAACCCAAATCGCCCCCTTGATAATCACAAGTGTGACCAGACATGTTTTTTTTTTTCCCTTCTTCTTCTTCAAGGAAACGTATCAGATCAAGTTGGCTAATAATTAATCTGCCTTACAGTGCTGGGAGGGGTTACACACTCTCTGAAGGGCAATTTGGCAACATTTCTCAAAATTGCGGAGCCTGCCCTTTTGACTCAATTCCACAAGAGGAATTTACCCCCCAGAGATTCTCCCACATAATCAAGACCAGGGCTGTAGGTTATTCTTTGTGCCATTGATGGTAACAGGCAAAAACTAGAAACAACCTAAGTGTGTCCATGATTGGGCCTTCTAAGTAAGGCAATACTACGTGGCCGTTAAAAAGAATGTAGCCAAAACTAGTTTGGCTCAGTGATAGAGCGTTGGCCTGTGGACTGAAGGATTCCAGGTTCGATTCCAGTTGAGGGTATGTACCTTGGTTGCAAGCACATCCCTGGTGGGGGATGTGCAGGAGGCAGCTCGTCCATGTTTCTGTCTCATAGATGTTTCCAGCAAGCTATCCCTCTCCCTTCCTCTCTGTAAAAAATCAATAAAATATATATATGTTTTTTAATAAAAATTAAAAAGAATGTAACTGGGGGATAGAAGGGGGTTAGGAGGGGTCAGTGAGGGGAAAACGGGGACATATATAATGCTTTCAACAATAGGATTTTTTTTTTAAAAGAATGGAACTGATGGGTATATGCTAATATGCTAGAATAATTTCTAAGCTATACAAAGCACCAGAGCAAGGGGGAAGGTCGGTACACATTTGAAGTATTTCTGGAAGGAGGTATAAAAAACTGGAAACAGGAGACCTGGGTAATTGGCACCACAGGGAGAAAAGGACTCTAGACTTCCTGCCGTGTATTCTTTGGAAGATCTTTTTGAATTCCATTATATTTGCATGCGTCCTGTGTTCAAACTGAATGAATGTTTGTATAGGGGCTGGCGTGGGCGCCTGCAGCAGAAGAAGGCTATTTAGATCCATAGCCGTTTCCTCGGAGCTGGAGGCAGCGGAGAGGTGGTCAGAGGGGGGGAGGGAAGAAGGCCGGGTCCGGGGCTCCCTCTCCCCCCCTCACCCTCTCCCTGTCCCCGCAGCAGGCGGCCCGAGGGCAGAGCGCAGAGGAGCGGCTAGCGGCTGCCCGCCGGGCGGAGCTGCAGGGCGCCACGTGCCAAACGCAGAGCCTGCAGGCGGAGACCGAGTCCCTGCGGGCCCTGGTGAGTGGGCCGAGAGCCACCCGGCGTTTCCTGGGACAATTTTAACTCCCCTGGAGTCACAGGGGTCACGGTGTGTGCCCGGGGTTTCATCTCCCAGCCTAAGGGTCTGAGGCCTGAGAGGACCATCCGATCCCAATCACAAGGGTAGGAGATAGGGCGAGGACCCAGCAGCAGTGACTGTGGGCCACTCATGCCCACAGATGCCCCTTCCCAGCTGCCCCTCTGCTCCAGAGAATGGCCCTCAGCCAATCAGAAGACGCTTGAGGTTTGAGGGGGCGGAGGTCCCACCTTTCCAGCCAATGACTGACTCACGGGGGAAGGGAGGTATTTATTTTATTAATATTTTTATTTTTTATATATTTTTTATTGATTTCTTACAGAGAGAGAGAGAGAAAGGGAGAGAGATAGAGAGTTAAAAATATCTATCAGCTGCCTCCTGCACACCCCCCACTGGGGATGTGCCTGCAACCAAGGTATATGCCCTAGACTGGAATCGAACCTGGGACCTTTCAGTCTGCAGGCTGATGCTCTATTCACTGAGCCAAACCGGTTTCAGCATCACAGGGGGTTTAAAAGCCCCGCTCACTTGCTTCCAAGTGGACCCAGGCCTCTGGGGTAATTCACTGTCCCGGCCTCCGTGGGGTCAGGCCATGGAGTTAGGCTGCAGCCAGACTCTGTCTGAGACCACCTCCTGGCCTAGCATCTCCCCTGCACAGCCCTGTCCCGCTTCCCTTGCTCCCCCTTTCCTGGGAGCAACTCCTTCATTATTCCCACAGCCGGGGTCCTTCGCCGGGGTCCTCCCTGGGGCACCCACCCAACACCCCTGGGAAGCTCCTCACTGTGGTTGGTGGGCAGATCTCTCATATCATTAATTATTATTATTAATTTAAAAGGTTATTAAAAATGCAGCAGCCCACCTCTGCTCTCTGGGATGGACTAAGGTTCTATTAGGTTGTCAAGCACAGCTCCTCCTGGATGCCCTCCAAGGGCCATGTGTACCGAGTCAACCACAAGCGAGTTGTACACGAAGGGGTTGGTTCATGTAATCCTGGTGTAGCTGAGGTGGTCTAGTCCACTGAGGCCCAGGAAGCCTCTCTCCCATCAGCCTCAAGTCCTCGGGCTGATCAGATACCACTGTTGATGCCCCTTTCTCCCACACCCCATAAACCTGCACCTCAATTTTGCCACCCAAATCTGCTTCATCATCAAGCCACCAGTCAGGCCTGCCATGGAGTTAGCTCAGGTGTTTATCCCAGTAGTTTCCCTCAGGAGCAGCTTTCTCTCTGCCGGTGGCCACGCTCATCCCATCACCTCCGGTTCCCTCAAGTGTCTTCCGTTCACCCGGGTCCATTATCCTCCGGCCAACACGGTCACACGGTGCCCAGCCGGCTCAGGACGGTGCTCAGTCTTCTTGCCACAACATGACATGCATCTTATTGCTCCACTTCTTTTTTTATTGATTGACTTTGAGAGAGAGAGAGAGAGAGAGAGAGAGAGAGAGAGAGAGAGAGAGAGAGAGAAGAGAGAGAGATTTATTGTTCCACTTATTTATGTATTCATCGGTGGTGCTTGTATGTGCCCTGACCAGGGATCCACCTTGCAACCTTGATATATCAAGACAATGCTCTAACCGACTGAGCTACCCGGCCAGGGCCATCTTTACTCCACTCCTGTCCCACTCAGTCTCTGATGGGATCTGGGTCAGAGTAAGGGGGTGTGAGTAAAGGATCTGAGGCGAGAAAAATCAGAAAACTGCAGTTTAAAGCAATGCTACTTTCACTAAGCAAACAAAACAATATCTAAAAGCAATGGCATCGTTCTCTCAGAGGTATGTGAATGTTATGTAACCAGTTTTTTTCACCTGCCATAACCCTTGATAAACACCCAAATAGGGGTGCTGCCTCTCGCCTCTGTAGCTTTAGGCACAGTGAAGGGACTGCCATTCCTCCCCCAGATGTCCTTGTGGCTGCCAAAAGTGTCACTCTTCTGGCGACAGAAAGTTCCAGGCAAAAGGTTGAGGACATATTCTCAAGCCAACATAAAAAAAAAAAAAAAAAAAAAAAAAAAAAGCCCAGATGAATTACTCCTCAGTGGCAGGTGGCCCATCACTCAGCACACATTCCACACATGCCTACTGGGTGCGTGCGATGTGCAGGGCCTCCCCTTAGCCCCTGGGGAGGCAAATCTGAAGGGGATCATCCTGTCCTCCAAAAGCTCAGCCCTTGTTGGTAATGAAAACCTGTGCACAGATGGCTGAACAAAGCAGAGGGGAACGGTGTTCCCAGAAGCTGCTCCCTCCAGCTTCTGTTCTCAGCAAGCCTCAGGACCCTCACCTCTGCCCCTCGGCAGATGCTGTCACCGTATTATCCTGCAGATGAAATTAAGGTCCCGCCCTACCCGGTTTGGCTTTAGTGGATAGAACATCTGCCTGCAGACTGAAGGGTCCAGGTTCGATTCCGGTCAAGGGCATATGCCCGGGTTGCAGGCTTAAATCCCCAGTGGGGTCATGCAGGAGGCAGCCAATCAATGACTCTCTCTCTCTCTCCCTCTTCCTTCCTCTCTGAAATCAATATATATATATTCGTTAATATATATATATATATTGATAATTTAAAATCTATATATATTTTAACTTAAGGTCCCCAACATGAGGTTTCTGGTTTCCATTTCCCACTTCGAAATATCTCAGGAGCTTTCTCCACCCCCCTTTCCTTCATAGACTCCCCTGTCTCGTGCTGCACCATCTGGGCATGCCTCTACCCACTGCCTTCTCTCTGCTGCATTTTCAGGGTCCCCAGCCCCTGGCATGGGGACCGGCCAACAACAGAAAGCCCTCCTTTGCCAGATCCTCATGTTAATGTCCAGCTTTTGCCCTTTCCTTTCCTGCCTTGAGCCCTTAATGTGTCTTTCCCATGGCTGGAAGGAGACTTCTCCCCTCAAGTCTGCCCACCTCCACCTACTCCTCTTGCCAAACCCTTGGCACAGGCAAGTGAAAACACGGAAATGGGACACCCACCGAGGAGCCTAGATTTTGATCCCACAGCTGGGTGGTCTTCCCACCCGCTACCCACTCACGTTCGGGTTGGTCCCTGAGGTGAAATCAGCTCTTCCACCAGAGTCACATTAACTCCTTGAGGGCAGGACCCAGGCTTCGTTACTTTTGTGTCCCCAAATTGCTTGGTGCAGTGCCCCAAATTTCCTCAAAGTGACACCTACATAAAAGCATCCTCGGAGAAGCATTGAGAAGCAGACAGGACTGTGACTGCCATCCCATTTTGCAAGTGAGAAGTCCGTGGCTCAGGGATTTCCCCATTAACACGATTATAAGTGCAGGAGCCAAGCCCTTCTGGCTCTATCTCTGTCTAGATCACAGCCAGCCTGTGGGACTGGGGGTTGGCACTCAGGCTCTGCCATCAAATCCTGTTTCCTCTACTCATGACGCTCTAAATTCCACTTTCTCTCTTTCCCATGAGGACCTACCTTGGTCATCCTCTTTATCTGCTGTGCTACTGGCCCTCAGTCAGAACAATCTGCGCACACACAAGCCCCCCCCCCCTCTCTCCAGCCGAGCTGACAAGACATTCAACCGCCTTTTTCAACAAGATTCCATGTGTTAGCAGCCAGGCACCAATGATGGTGCTGGAGGCCTACCAAGCTCTGTGTTCAGTCAAACCAGGAATTCAAGACCAGAAACCACAGATCACTATTTTACTTTCTGGAGGGTCTATCATCCAAAGGCATCCCTTCCAATGTCCAGAAGCTGGGGAGTAAGCTTGCTGTTGTGACCACGGCATGCTCACTGGTGCAGGCCAGGGTGGGGGCACCCGGAGCAGCAGCCTCATCATGGTCCCTCAGCTCAAGCATCTCTTGAGCTGAAACCGGTTTGGCTCAATGGATAGGCTTGGGGACTCAAGGGACCCAGGTTCGATTCCGGTCAAGGGCATGTACCTTGGTTACGGGTATATCCCCAGTAGGGGGTGTGCAAGAGGCAGCTGATTGATGACTCTCCCACATCGATGTTTCTAACTCTCTATCTCTCTCCCCTCCTCTCTGTATAAAATCAATAAAATATATTAAAAAAAAAAAAAAAAAAAAAAAGCATCTCTTGAGGCCAGGATGTCAGGACTTAGTTGGGGAGAACTGGTGCTTGGGCAGTGGGTCCTGAGTCATCAAAGGACCCTGGACCACAGGGAGGAGTCACCTGTGAACATGGAGCCCACACTGTAAACCGATGACCCAGCCATGGCTCTGTAAGGCATTTTTCCAAAACACAGGTGTTACACATCCAACGTCAACCATTGCTACTCACCAAGCTGGGCCAGTTATGGGTGCCGTGTTAGGGACCCTGGAGAGCTTAGAGAGGAGGTTAGAGCAGAGGGGAGACAGGCCCAGAGCTGGACTTCAGACAGAGCACCGTGGCTTCCATGTGGGGCATGCAGCACAAGGAGGAACCAGAGGCAGAAAGAGGAGCTAAGGCCACTGAGGTCCCCCTTGGTGAAAGTGATGGGCATTGATCCTGGGCATCGGTGGCTGGAGAAGAGAGGGCGTTCGTGTGAAACTTTTCGGAACATATGTAATGATTGCATTTGAGAGAGAAGCAAGAAGACCAGGGATGTGTCTTTCCCCAGCTTCTAGTTCTCCGGAGTTCCCTGCTGAAGCACAGGACAGGAAAGACCAGCAGGTCTGTTTGGATGCCTTGTTTTAAGGTGCGCTGGACTGCACATTATTTCCAGTCAGTAGGAAGCTCAGGAGTGGGTCAGGGCTTGGAGAGAGGAGAGAAGTCTGTGCTAACGGAATCCCTGCAGGAGCCATTAGCAGGCGGACTGGAAAAATCATGTGTGGAAGAGACCAACTAACAGGCCCAGGAAACACAGTTCAGAGAGTAACAGGTTCAGGATGGGGCGACAGGGAACCCACAGGGAAGGGGGAACCAGAGGAAGAGGAACTAGCCCTAATGGGCACCTAAAACACTAAAGAAACAACTGCTGAATATAGAACAGCCAGAGACGTTCATTGTGATTCTGATAATCTGGGGGAGGGAGCAGAGGAGACAGCATTTTAGCGGAATGGTGGGTGGGGTTTCAGCAGTGGAGGAGGGGGGAGGGGGGAATAGGGCCCCCCAGGGGGTGAGAAAAGGAGCAAAAAGGCCCAGAGGCAGCTCAGAGAACACGGTTTCTTTGAAGCAACACCTGCAGACTGCTTCTGTGTGTGTGTCAGTTTCTCTCTCATTTTCTTCCTCTCTCATTTTCTCACTCATTTCTCATTCTTATATCTCACCTCTCTCCCTCTCCTTCCCTCTTCTCTACCTCCCATCCAACCCCCTCCATGTCTCCCACACACACATCCACCCCCCACCCCCATCAGAAGGATCAGGAATTAGACTAAACAAGAGTCTGGCCTCCTGAGGATTCATGATTTATACACCAAGCCACATAAACCTAGCAACCGACCCCACCATTGCCAGCCCCGCCCACTGCTCTGCACACCTCCCTCTCCAAGGGCCCTGCCCATCGGCCTTGAGTTCTGACGTTCCCTCTTTTGTAGAAACGAGGCCTGGAGAACACGTTGCAGGACGCCAAGCACTGGCATGACCTGGAGCTGCAGAACCTGGGCGCCGTGGTCCGCAGGCTGGAGGCGGAGCTCCAGGAGATGCGGGAGGAGGCGGAGCGGCAGCAGCAGACCCGCGAGCATCTGCTGGCGCACAGGTGCCAGCTGCAGAGGGACGTGGCATCCTGCCACGATTTGCTGGACAGGGAGGAGAGCCGGTAGGTCTCTTCTTTCTTAATTGTAAAAGGAACACAACTCATCATTTAAAATATTTTTTCAGCCAAAACCGGTGTGGCTCAGTGGATAGAGCATCGGCCTGCGGACTGAAAGGTCCCTGGTTCGATTTTGGCCAAGGGCATGTACCTTGGTTGCTGGCACATCCCCAGTAAGGGGTGTGCAAGAGGCAGCTGATTGATGACTCTCTCTCATCGATGTTTCTAACTCTCTATCCCTCTCTCTTCCTCTCTGTAAAAAAAAAAATCAATAAAATAAAAAAATAAAATAGTTTTCAAACACTATAGAAGTAGTGAAGATAGAAGAAATCATCCCAAACTCCCCAACACACACACACACACACACTCCCATAGCCCCACTCTGTCCTTCCACAAATATATAAACAAATATATATTATAAATGTGCGTGTATACATAAATGTGTCACACCTGTTGTTAACCATATAAACAGATATACACATGCACACGTAGATGTGCCTATAAATGTTAATACACACCTAGTGCAGCAGGTTCTCCAATAAGGTCATTTAGTTCAACATCATGTCATTATGACACTGATGAGATGCCATAGGAATTTAACGCTTGTTTATATAGATTATTCTGTAGTAATAATCTATATATTTCATCATAGTTCCCAGAACCCACTGACAATGTCACATGAGGACTTACTGTACCATACATGGTAGCTGTTAGGAATGCTTTCAGCTGCATGTAATTGAGCCTACATAATGGGGCTATAAGCCAGTGCACCTGAAGTTTCATGTGCACCCAAAACCTGGGCATCTCTTTAAAATGCAGATTCTGCTTCAGTAGGTCTGGGTGGGGCTTGATGGTCTTTACTTCCAACAAACTCGCAGGTCAGGCCTATCCTGCCAGACCACAGACCACACAGGGAGCAGCCAGGACATACCGGTAACCCACGTTTGTCTAAGAGTTCCAGAAAGGAGGTGGCCCAGGCTTCTCAATGATTTCATTAGGTCCCATGCCCTTTCCATCTTTCTGACTTACCATCCCTGGTATATTGGCTTTTTTGTCTTCATTTTTGTCCCCATGGTGGCCAAATGCCTACCATAGCTCCCAGGCTCAGGTCCTCTCACACATGACAAGGAGGAAGGAAGAGAGGGCAGCAAGAACGGCCTTTCCCTGGGTAACCTCTTTACCAGCCAGTGAAGGGGAAGTGTGTTGAGAAGTCCTCTAATGGACGTTGCCTGTTGTCTCATTGACCAGACCTGCTCACATGGCCTTACCTCCCTGCAGGTGGTTCTGGGAAAGCAACTTTTTCCAGTCTTTACACTGGAGAGAGGCAAGGATAGGGATGACATATATACGTCTAAGTATGTATATGAATGTATGCATGTGTATACACACACATATATACATCGATGTATATAGGCAGTCTTTTTTAACGGGTGAAGACTACAGGAGCTTTTGCATGAGTTCTGAGACTAGTTTCTTGCCAGCTCTCTAAGGAAATCCAAGCCTTTATTAGATCATAATTCTGTATCTTCATATCTCCCTCCAAGGCCCCGTCTGTGGCATACATTGACTAAGGAATAGAATATCAGTTCTAAGAGATAGCTTAGCGATTATGTAGTCCAACCCCTGTGATTCCAGCAAAACTGCAAAGGCCCAGAACAGAAAAGCGGTTTTCTGTGATCACACGAGGAGGTGGGGCCAGACTGGGACTCCGTAACATCCCTTTCTTCAGAAACAGGAGAGCCAGGGGGAAGCAACCAGCCCCTCCTCCTTTCCGGCGGAAAACGTGTCATCCAGCTCCCCTCCAACTGTCTTTTTATTGGATTCATTGCTGTGGACTATAGAAGCTGGATGTTTCTGACCAACCTCATTTTTCCACATGCCTGTGAACATCTGAATAAGTGCACAGATTTGTTTTAAACATAAAAAATGGTGAATTAAGCTGACTATTCTTCAAGAATTTAAGAATGCCATTTAGTGAGTGCCTGCTGTGTGCCAGCACAATTTCAGATTCTCTGTTCTCCTCATTTCCCCTGAAACCCTGCTAGGACTATATCATTATCTCCATTTTACAGGTAAGAAAGAAAGCCCCAGAGAGCTTCAGTCATTTGCTCAAGGTAACTCAGCTAATACCTGTGGAGCAGGGATTTGAAACCCAAGTTGGCCCTGGCCAGGTAGTTGGTTACAGCATCTTCCTGATTCAATTTCTGGGCAAGGCACATGCAAGAAGCAATGAATCCTATATAATAAAAGCCTAATATGTTAAGTGTCTGGTCATCTGTCCAACCAATCAAAGTGTAATTTGCTAATGATATGCTAAGGTTGTTCAACCACTGACTATGATGTGCACTGATCATGGAGGCAGACGCTCCGACTGTTAGGTTAGCTTGCTGCTGGAGTCCAACTGATCAAAACTGAGTGAGATAGGCTGGACATGCCCTGGAGCCTTCCTGCAGTCCCTCCGAGGCTGGCCAACCTCCCATGTCCCTCCCTGGCCCTGACCGTACACCAGTGGGGTCTCTCGGCCTGGCTTGCACCCTCTCACAATCTGGGATCCCTCAGGGGATGTTGGAGAGCCGGTTTTGGCCCAACGGCAAAATGACCAGTCACTTTGACGCGCACTGACCATCAGGGGGCAGATGCTCAGCGTAGAAACTGCCCCCTGGTAGTCAATTCATCCCACAGAGGGAGCACCACTCAGCCAGAAGCCGGGCTAACAGCTGGCGAGCTCAGCAGCAGTGACAAGAGCCTCTCCCACCTCCATAGCAGCACTGGGGATATCCACCTGAGGGCTCCCAGACTACAAGAGGATGCAGGCCAGGCTGAGGATGCCTATCCTGCCCCGGAGTGCATGAATTTCATGCACCAGGACTCTAGTCTATAAATATATATATATATATATATATATATATATATATATATATATATATATATATGGCTAACATGCAAAGTTTCCCCTCTGGAGTTCAACCAGGAGACTGGGAGTTCAATCACTCGCTATGATGTGTGCTGACCACCAGGGGACGGTGCGGAATGAAGGGAGGCCCCAGTGGCAGCTGGAAGGCCAGGATCGGCCCTGATCACCAGCCAGGCCTAGGGACCCTATGGTGCATAAATTCTGTGTATCAGGCCTCTATAAATAAGTGTAACAACAAATCTCTCTCTCTCTCTCTCTCTCTCTCTCTCTCTCTCTCTCTCTCTCCCTCTCTTTCTCTCTCTCTCTCTCTCTCCCCACTCCCTCTCTTTCAAATCTATTTAGAAAAAAAGAAAAAGAAAAAAGAAACCCAAGTTGTCTTATTCCAAAGGCCAACTGCTTTCCACGAGATTCCTACCTTTCCTGTAATCTTAAAATTGTGATCTCTTTACTAATTTCCAATCACCCATAGCTTCTCTCGCTCAACTGTGTTTTTGTTTATTTGTTTCAGCTAGTGGAGAACCCTCTTTTCATCAAGAAAACGCTGCCTCCTCACCGAGTGGCCAATGGGTGCCTTGAGGAGTCTTCCCCACCTGCTCCTCCATCTTCCTCAAACCGCCTCCCATCCCCCACGCTCCCGGAGCTGGATTCCCTGCTAGATCCCCTTGAGCTGAAAAGCTTCCCAGGAGTGGAGAGGGTTCTTTGGCCTTAAACCGAAGTAGCCTGTGGCTTGGGCAGCCTCCCTGCCCCTCTCTCTGCCAATAAATGCTTTGCGTGCAGCTTCCAGTCTGACCACCTGTTCAGCTCGCCACCGGGTGGAGATGGTGTCACTTTACCTGCCTGGCCTTTGCTTGTGGAGTCACCCCTGAAGGGTCTGGAAAGTTCCCTGAGCATGATGCCAGCTGCCTCTCCGCCCAAGGATCAGCTGCTTGGGCAAGCGCTGTGCTCCAGGCATGCAAGTCGTCGCCCCCCCCCCCCCCCCCCCCCCCCCCCCCCGGTTTGGGGCAAAGACAGCACTCTTGTTAGAGGGGAGGGGCAAGGCGCTGCGCTGCGCGCACCACAATTACAGGCATCGTGAAGCCTTCAGACCTCTTTCATGTGCTCTGCCTGGGTGTCTACGTGCGGACGAACACATGACACTGCCATTGGTGGAGGGCCTCTCCATCAGTTTAAAGGGAACTTCCGTGTAAGTCTGTGGGGGGTTAATTAGACTGTGGTTGCTTACTTCGCTTCTAGACTCAGAATTTGCTTCCTCCGTGGGAGCCAGGCCGGCCAAATATAGTTCCCGAATCTGCCACCTACCCAGGCAGGGCCCCCCTGCCTTGCTGATTAAAATTGAAACCAGCACCTGGGTCCTTGCACCAGCTCTCAGCGCCTCCCAAACCACACACACACACACACACACACACACACACACACACTCGGCCCGACCTCGATTTCTTAATTTTCCCCTCACGCTTGTGACAGCCCACCTGTCACACAGCATCCCAGACAGGTATCCAAGCTGAGTCTTTGTCCTCATCAAGCGCCGGCCCAGACAGGGGGCCGCGTCCACTGTGGGCCAATTTGAAGACCCCCTCCCCCCAGTACCCGCACTTCCAAACAGCCAAGGCCAACACAAACGAGAGAAGCCTTGTTTCCTCCGCAGGAAGCTCGGAAGAGAAGCAAAGTCAGAAAGGGGGTCTCCTGGTTGGAATGGCTCCAGCCGGGTTTTCTGTTTGCCTTCCAGGGCCGCCAAAGGAGTCATATTAATGAGCCACTTGGGCAGGACAGCTACTGAGTTTGCCTGAGACCTTTCCATAATTCTGTTTGTTGTCTGAGGCCCAGAAACAGGCAAGCCCCCACCTAATGCTGCATTTCAGCAAATCACCAATCCCTCCCTGCTGCACTCTGGGAGCTGGGGAGTGTAATTCACCACTGGGTGCAAGACACAGGGTGCAGCCAGCCTAGCTCTGTTGCATGCATCCAACACTAAGTCTGTTTCTTTTCTTTCTTGTTAGGATTAACTTTTTTTGCCCCCTAGCCAAGGCTGAAATCCCTAAACCTAAACACAGCTGGAGGGCCCCGAAAGGTCAGCCATTCAGAGGCACTTCTGTGTCCGAATGGCTACGCGTTGCCCAGAGCCTGGCAGCTGTTTGAGCCCCTGCCAGATGGGGGAATGGACTTGCACCCCTCCTCAGCCCCCACCCCTACCCTCCTCTGTCCCCCCTATCCTCCATCCCCCCCACCCTCCGTCCCCCGACCCGTCCTCAGTCCCCACCAGCCCGCAGCTGGGCAGGGCCACGCACCGGCCTCCTGGGCTTTGTAATTGGAAGAAGCAGCCGCCGTAAATCATCACATTAATCACCCTTTGGCAGCGAGAGCCCAGGCTGGCTGGTGCTTCCAGTTCCCAGCACAGGTTTCTGCTGTTTCTAATGAGGCTTCATTGTCAGGTAAGAAAAGGCTCCGCTGGCCCTCCTGACTCCGGCTCCGCCAGGGCCTTATCTAACGCGGGCTTCCTGGCAAAACACCCGGCTCAGTGACACCCGGCGCGGCCAGGACAGCAGCAACAGGTGGCTGGGAGGCTGCGGCTGTGGGGCCGCAAGGACAGCGAAGGCTGCAGTGGACTCCTCCGGAAACAGGTAAGGCCACTGGCCTCCAGCCTGGCTCCCAGTGAGATTGCCAGAACGTTCCTGGGCTGTCAGACCAAGGCGCTACGTCTCGCCTGCATTACCTTCTGTCACCCTCCTGAGCACCTCCGGGGGCCCAGACATTCTGTTGGGCGTGGGGATGCCAGCATCAAAGGGAGACACGCAAGCATGTCACACTCGTGGCGGGCCACATGCCTGTCAGAGTCACTGGGGAGTCAGGTGTGCACAGAAAAGCAGACACAGAGCACAGCAGGCTGAGCTGCACACTGCCGTGTGCATGACCCCATCAGTGTGTCACAGACGGCATGAAAGAGACTTCCCGTCAGGTCTTTGTTGATGTTGGATAAGGTGATTCAGCAAGAACCATCAAGCACCGTGCTGGCGTCTGATTGTCTCTGTTCCCTGCAGACGGTCTACGTGTTTCCAGGTTTATTGAGATAGGATTGGCATTCGGCACTGGACAGATTTAAGGTACACTGTGAAATGATGACCACGGAAAGTTAACATCCATCGTCTCATAAATTTTTTTTAAATGTATTTTATTGATTTTTTTACAGAGAGGAAGAGAGAGGGATAGAGAGTTAGAAACATGGATGAGAGAGAATCATCAATCAGCTGCCTCTTGCACACCCCCTACTGGGGATGTGCCCGCAACCAAGGTACATGCCCTTGACCGGAATCGAACCCAGGATCTTATAGTCCGCAGGCCAACGCTCTATCCATTGATCCAAACCAGTTTCCGCGATAAATTTTTTTTTTCCTTGTGATGAGAACTCTTTTTTTTGTGCGATGAGAACTTTTAGGGTTTACTCTGTTAACAACTTCCCTAGGTACCATACAGCAGTGTTCACCAGTCATCCTGTGTACAGTACATGCCCAGTACTTATTCATCTTCTCACCGGAACTTTGTACCTTTTGACTACCTTCCCCCAACTCTCCCTCTCCTCCTCCACACCCACCCGGCTTCTGGTAACCACAAATATGGCCTTTTCTCTCTCTCTCTATGAGTTTGAGTTTTGTTTTTAAGATTCCACTGTCTGACTTATTTCATTTAACATAATGCCCTCAAAGTCCACCTATGCACCCAACTTGTTTCAAATGACAGGATTTCCTCCTTTTATGGCTGAATAAACATCCAGTGTGTATGTATACATAGTCAAACATACAAAATAACACAGCTTCTTTATCCATTGGTCCGTTGATGCAACACTTAGATTGTCAACATGTCTTGGTTATTGTAAATAATAATACTGCTTAATGCTGCTATGAACATGGGGGTACAGATAGCTCTTTCACACAATGTTTTCATTTCCTTGGGATATGTTCCCATAAGTGGAATTGCTGGAGAATGTGGTAGTTTTAATTTTTTGAGGAAAGTCATACTGTTTGCCATAGTGGCTGTACCAGTGTACAGTCCCCCCAACAGGGCACAAGAGTTCCCTTGTCTACATATCCTGGCCATTGCTTATCTCTTACCTTTCTGATGACAGCAATTCTAACTGATGTGAGGTAATGATTTGATTTAGATTCCTTTGATAAATGAGTGATATCGAGCACCTTTTCATGTACCTTTTGGTCATTTGGGTATCTTCTTTGGAAAAATGCACCCATTTTTTAATGGAATTGCAGTTGACCCTCAAACAATTCAGGTTAGGGGGGCTGACCACTCCTTGCTGTGCAATCAAAAGTCCACATATAAGTTTTGACTCCCCCAAAACTCATCTAGTTGGCCCTCAGTATCTGCAGGGGATTGGTTCCGGGAATCTCGTCATACCCACATTTGTGGGTGCCCAAGTGTCTTAATATGTAAAATGGTGTAGCGCCCTAGCTGGTTTGGCTCAGGGATAGAGCATTGGCCTGTGGACTGAAGGGTCCCAGGTTTGATTCTGGTCAGGGCGTATGCCTGGGTTGTGTGCTCGACTCCTAGTGTGGGGCGTACAGGAGGAGGCAATCAATGATTCTCATCAATGATGTCTCTCTCTCTCTCTCTCTCTCTCTCTCTCTCTCTCTCTCTCTCTCTTTCTCTCTTTCTCTCTCTTCTTCTCTCTCTCCCTCTCCCTCTCTCTCTTTCTTGCTCTCTGAAATCAATAAAAATATTTATTTTTTTAAAAAAAAGATCATGAAACTGTTAGGAGGTTAGAATATTGTGCATTTCTTTTAAATGCATGTTTCAGTTTTATATAGTATCAATTGTGTCTATACTAAAAAACAATTATTAGCATTGTTACACTTTTTCCCTTTTTCTCTCCCTCTAAATATCTTTATCCTGTCATTTTTACTGTATCAGGGTTTATTTTATGCACATTCTTTTCTGCAACCCATAATTCCTGTTGTGGTTCAGCCTTAGTCTATCGATAGTTAAACGAACTAATATTTAAACGGGTCCTTTCACCCAGCATTTCATCCCTGGATTCTTATTTTGATTCATCTCTTGTTTAAATGCAGTTCCCTTTAAGGAGTTTTCCAAGGGTCGATGGCTGACAGGTGCTTTACCTCCTGGCTTCTTTCATGTTTGAGGTGTGTGTGTGTGTGTGTGTGTGTGTGTGTGTGTGGTTAAATTTTTACAGAGAGGAAGGGAGGGGATAGAGAGTTAGAAACATCAATGAGAGAAAAACATCAATCAGCCGCCTCCTGCACGCCCCCTACTGGGTATGTGCCTGCAACCAAGGTACATGCCCTTGACCGGAATTGAACCTGGGACCCTTGAGTCTGAAGACGGACACTCTATCCACTGAGCCAAACCGGTTAGGGCTGTTTCTGTTATATTTTATGAAGAACTTGTCTGGACACAAAGTTCCTGGGTCAAACATTGTTCCCCTCAGAACTTGGCAAGTATTGCTTCATAGTTTCTTGGATCCACTATTGTGAAAAGGTCCAAGGCAGAT